ACACATTCAAACACAGCTTTTTAAATGAAATGAAAGTCAAATGCATTCAAGAAAGCTAATTAAATTAATTGAAATTCAAAAACATCCAAAAACAATCTAATTAGATCAAATGAAAATCAAACACATTCGTAAAAAACTATTCGAAACAAATGAAAGTCAAATGCATTCTACAAAGCTAATTGAATCAAATGAAAGTCAAACACATTGAAACAAAGCTAATTGAATCAAACGTAAGTCAAACACATTCAAATGTAGTTTTTTGAACCAAATGAAAGCCAAAAGCATTCAACAAAGATAACTAAATCAAATGAAATTCAAAAACATCTAAAAAAATCAAATTAAATCGAATGAAAGTCAAACACATTCAAACAAATTTATTTGAATCAAATTAAAGTCAAATGCTTTTCATAAAGCCATTTAAATCAAATGAAAGTCAAACACATTCAAACAAAGAGAATTGAATCAAATGAAAGTCAAACATATTTAAACAAAGCTTTTTGAATCAAAAGAAAGTCAAATGCATTCAATAAAAGCTAATTGAATAAAATGAATGTCAAAAAACATCTAAATAAATCTAATTAAATCAAATAAAAGTCAAACACATTCCAACAAAACTATTAGAATCAAATGAAAGTCAAACACATACAAACAAACCTAATTGAATCAAATGAAATTAAAAAACATCTAAAAAAATCTAATTAAATCAAATGAAAGTCAAACACATTCAAACAAAAGCTATTTGAATCAAATGAAATTCAAAAACTTCTAAAAAAAGCTAATTGAATCAAATGAAAGTCAAACACATTCAAACAAAGCTTTTTGAATCAAGAGAAAGTCAAATGAATTCAACAAAGCTAATTGAATAAAATGATAGTAAAAAAACATCTAAAAAATCTAATTAAATCAAATAAAAGTCAAACACATTCAAACAAAACTATTAGAATCAAATGAAAGTCAAACACATACAAACAAACCTAATTGAATCAAACGAAAGTAAAACTCAATCAAACAGAGCTAATTGAATCAAATGAAAGTCAAACACATTCAAAAAGAGCTTTTTTGAATCAAATGAAGGTCAAATGCATTCTACAAAGCTAATTGAATCAAATGAAAGTGAGGAGGAGATAAAGGCCCCGTCTTACTTTAGAAGCAGAGAAATCACATTCAAACAAAGCTAATTGAATCGAACGTAAGTCAAACACATTCAAATATAGTTTTTTTGAATCAAATGAAAGCCAAAAGCATTCAACAAAGATAATTAAATCAAATGAAATTCCAAAAACATCTAAAAAAATCTAATTAAATCGAATGAAAGCCAAACACATTCAAACAAAACTATTTGAATCAAATGAAAGTCAAATGCATTTCACAAAGCTAATGGAATCAAATGAAAGTCAAACACATTCAAACAAAGCTAATTGAATCAAATGAAAGTCAAACACATTCAAACAAAGCTTTTTGAATCAAAAGAAAGTCAAATGCATTCAACAAAGCTAATTGCATAAAATGAAAGTAAAAAACATCTAAAAAAATCTAATTAAATCAAATAAAAGTCAAACACATTGAAACAAAACTATTAGAATTAAATGAAAGTCAAACACATACAAACAAACCTAATTGAATCAAACGAAAGTCAAACTCAATCAAACAGAGCTAATTAAATCAAATGAAAATCAAACACATTCAAAACGAGCTTTTTTGAATCAAATGAAGGTCAAATAACTTCTACAAAGCTAATTGAACAGATCGTAAGTCAAACACATTCAAATATAGTTTTTTGAATCAAATGAAAGCCAAATGCATACAAAAAAGCTAATTGAATCAAATGAAATTCAAAAACATCTAAAAAAATCTAATTAAATCAAATGAAAGTCAAACACACATTTAAACAAAAGCTATTTGAATCGAATGAGAGTCAAAAGCATTCGATAAAGCTAATTGAATCAAATGAAAGTCAAACACATTCAAACAAAGCTTTTTTGAATCAAAAGAAAGTCAAATGCATTCAACAAAGCTAATTGAATAAAATGCTAGTCAAAAACATCTAAAAAATCTAATTAAATCAAATCAAAGTCAAACACATTCAAACAAAACTATTAGAATCAAATGAAAGTCAAACACATACAAACAAACCTAATTGAATCAAACGAAAGTCAAACTCAATCAAACAGAGCTAATTGAATCAAATGAAAGTCAAACACATTCAAAAAGAGCTTTTTGAATCAAATGAAGGTCAAATGCATTCTACAAAGCTAATTGAATCAAATGAAAGTCAAACACATTCAAACAAAGCTAATTGAATCGAACGTAAGTCAAACACATTCAAATATAGTTTTTTGAATCAAATAAAAGCCAAATGCATACAACAAAGCTAATTGAATCAAATGAAATTCAAAAACTTCTAAAAAAATCAAATTAAATCAAATGAAAGTCAAACACATTCAAACAAAAGCTATTTGAATCAAATGAAAGTCAAATGCATTCTACAAAGCTAATTAAATCAAATGAAAGTCAAACACATTCAAACTAACCTAATTGAATCAAATGAAAGTCAAACACATTTAAACAGAGATTTTTGAATCAAATGAAAGTCAAATGCATTCAACAAAGCTAATTGAATCAAATGAAAGTCAAATGCATTCTACAAAGCTAATTTAATCAAATAAATTCGGACACATTTAAACAAAGCTAATTGAATCCAACGTAAGTCAAACACATTCAAACATAGCTTTTTAAATGAAATGAAAGTCAAATGCATTCAACAAAGCTAATTGAATTAACTGAAAATCAAAAACATCCAAAAAAAAATCTAATTAGATCAAATGAAAATCAAACACATGCGTAAAAAACTATTTGAATCAAATGAAAGTCAAATGCATTCTACAAAGCTAATTGAATCAAATGAAAGTCAAACACATTGAAACAAAGCTAATTGAATCAAACGTAAGTCAAACACATTCAAACATAGTTTTTTGAACCAAATGAAAGCCAAAAGCATTCAACAAAGATAACTAAATCAAATGAAATTCAAAAACATCTAAAAAAATCTAATTAAATCGAATGAAAGTCAAACACATTCAAACAAATTTATTTGAATCAAATGAAAGTCAAACACATTCAAACTAACCTAATTGAATCAAATGAAAGTCAAACACATTCAACAGAGCTAATTGAATCAAATGAAAGTCAAACACATTCAAAAAGAGCTTTTTGACTCATATGAAGGTCAAATGCATTCTACAAAGCTAATTTAATCAAATAAATTCAAACACATTCAAACAAAGCTAATTGAATCCAACGTAAGTCAAACACATTCAAACATAGCTTTTTAAATGAAATGAAAGTCAAATGCATTCAACAAAGCTAATTAAATTAACTGAAATTCAAAAACATCCAAAAACAATCTAATTAGATCAAATGAAAATCAAACACATTTGTAAAAAACTATTCGAAACAAATGAAAGTCAAATGCATTCTACAAAGCTAATTGAATCAAATGAAAGTCAAACACATTGAAACAAAGCTAATTGAATCAAACGTAAGTCAAACACATTCAAACGTAGTTTTTTGAACCAAATGAAAGCCAAAAGCATTCAACAAAGATAACTAAATAAAATGAAATTCAAAAACATCTAAAAAAAATCAAATTAGATCGAATGAAAGTCAAACACATTCAAACAAATTTATTTGAATCAAATAAAAGTCAAATGCATTTCATAAAGCTAATTAAATCAAATGAAAGTCAAACACATTCAAACAAAGAGAATTGAATCAAATGAAAGTCAAACATATTTAAACAAAGCTTTTTGAATCAAAAGAAAGTCAAATGCATTCAATAAAAGCTAATTTAATAAAATGAATGTCAAAAACATCTAAATAAATCTAATTAAATCAAATAAAAGTCAAACACATTCCAACAAAACTATTAGAATCAAATGAAAGTCAAACACATACAAACAAACCTAATTGAATCAAATGAAATTAAAAAACATCTAAAAAAATCTAATTAAATCAAGTGAAAGTCAAACACATTCAAACAAAACTATTTGAATCTAATGGAAGTCAAATGCATTCAACAAAGCTAATTGAACCAAATGATAGTCAAACACATACAAACAAAGCTAATTGAATCAAATGAAATTCAAACACATTCATACAAAGCTAATTGAATCAAATGAAAGTCAAATGCATTCAACAAAGCTAATTGAATAAAATGAAAGTAAAAAACATCTAAAAAAATCTAATTTAATAAATGATGTAAAAACTAATAGAAAGTCTTAGTTAATACAAGCTTAATGGATCAAACTTAAGTGGAAAGAAGAAAAAAAGGTTGGTGTTTTAAGTTAAATTACGGGTAAAGGTTTGTAGGTTGTTTTGGAAGTGGTTAAGGAACGTTTTTTAGAGGAAAGAAGGATTAGTTTGTAAGGATTACTCACTTAAACAAACAAGATATGTAGGCAAGGATTACTCACTTAAAACCCACTAGTTGTTTAATTTGCATGGAAGGAAAACTCACTTAACCACTCAAATTCGTCAAGTTAAACTTGGAAAAAAAACGATTTATCTTAACAACAAGAATAAATAGTTTTAAGGAGAAAACTTTCTTAATTCATATATCATAATATTCCATACACTTACATTTCATAAGCTTAAATAAAGAAAACAAACTAGTACTAAACTACACGCATTAAACAAGCTTAACGTGTGTTTATTGTAACTAAACATGAAAGCTAAAACCTAGCCTAGAATCACGCCTATGCTAAGCAGATTTTCTTAACTGATTTTAGGCTTTAATCACCCTTAATTAACCTCTTAAAAACTGCTGAAAAGAAGCTTAAAAACAGCCATAAAGAACCAGCAAAAAACGTGGAGTAACCTCCCCTTGATTCATGCCTTTCTTCATGCTAATAAATGTTTATGACTTGCAATGAAGTTTCTCCTTGCTTCAAGGACGCCTTTTCCTATGCCTAAGGCTGTTCAAAACGTGCCTAGGATGCCCATTAAAATTCATAACCAGAATGTAAACAAGTAAACCCTTGGTTAGCAAGAAACGGTCCATGCGCACAAAAAGTATCTAACACTTGATCTTCAAATGACTTAGCAAGAATGATTTCTTTGTGAATTGGACTTGTAGGATGATCATGCTTGATTGGACTAATGGACTCTTCATGATTTGCATCATCCTCCCCTTCTTCTAAAAGAGTTGCCCTCAACTCATCATCTTCTAGATAAGGAGCCAAGTCACCCACGTTGAAAGTTGATGAAACTCCGAATTGCCCTCCAAGGTCCACTTTGTAAGCATTATCATTGATCTTTTCCATGATTTGAAAAGTTCCCTCTGCCCTAGGCATCAATTTGTGTTTCCTTTGTTTAGGAAACCTTTCTTTGCGCAAGAATATCCACACAAGATCACCCACTTCGAACTTCTTCATATTTCTCAAGTTTTTGTTAGCTTGCTTCTTGTATGACTCATTTGCCTTTTCTATGTTCTTCCTAACTTCTTTATGGACATCAATCATGAATTCTATATGCTCCTTGGCTGTCCCATGCACGAACTTATCTTTAGGAAGCGAAATGTAATCAATCGGCACATAAGGATTCACACCATATACAACTTCAAAAGGTGAATAATTTATATTTTTGCTTGGAGTTCTATTGTAGGCAAACTCTGCATGAGCTAACTTCAAGTCCCAATCTTTACCTCCCTTATTCACTAAGGCACGAAGCAAAGAACCAAGAATTCGGTTCACCACTTCGGTTTGACCATCCGTTTGTGGATGATGGCTTGTTGAGAAAAGTAGCTTAGTACCCACGAGCCTCCACAAGGACTTCCAAAAATGACTCACAAACTTAGTGTCACGATCCGAAACTATGGTTCTAGGCAAACCATGTAATCTAGCCACTTCTTTAAAAAAAATTTGCGCCACATTGAACGCATCATCCACCTTCTTACAAGCTATGAAATGAGCCATCTTTGAAAACCGATCAACGACCACCATGATAGAATCTTTTCCACGAGCTGTTCTAGGCAAGGCCATTATGAAATCCATACTCAAATCTTCCCAAGGTCTTTCGGGAATGGGCAAAGGCTTATACTCTCCCTTATGAAACGTCATTTTGGCTCTTTGACAAATAGAACACCTAGCCAAAACTTGGTGCACATTAGCTAACATTTTTGGCCAATAAAAATGACTTTGTAAGATTTCTAGGGTCTTTTGTATACCCATATGACCAGCAAGTCCTCCTCCATGAGCTTCCTTGATCAACAACTCTCGAATTGCACCTTTAGGAACACAAAGTTTGTTCCCTTTGAAAAGGAAACCATCTATTATGACAAATGAACCGTGGACTCCATTCTTGCAAGACTCCATGATTTCCTTGAGTTCAAGATCATCTTTGTATGATTCCTTCATGACCTCGAAACCAAGAATTTTAGTTTCCATGATTCCAAGAAGATTATGCCTTCTTGATAATGCATCCGCCACAATATTGGTTTTGCCTTTCTTGTACTTGGTTGCAAAGTTGAAAGATTGTAGGAATTCCACCCACTTAGCATGCCTTGCATTCAACTTCTTTTGTCCATGAATGAACCTTAATGATTCATGATCCGAATGTAAGATGAAAGGCCGTGGCCTCAAATAATGTGACCAATGATCCAAAGCTCGAACCATGGCATATAATTCTTTGTCATAAGTGGAGTAATTCAATTTGCCTTGGCTCAATTTCTCACTAAAATACGCAATTGGCTTCTTCTCTTGGATTAGGACAGCCCCTATTCCTTTTCCACTTGCATCACACTCAACTTCAAATGGTTTCATGAAATCTGGAAGGGCTAGAACCGGCGCTTCACACATCTTCTTTTTCACCAACTTAAACGCCTTTTGAGCCTGTGGAGTCCATTGAAAGCTTCCCTTCTTTGTACATTCGGTGATGGGAGCCATAAGGGTGCTAAAATGTTCAATAAACCTCCTATAGAACGAAGTAAGTCCATGAAATGAACGAACCTCCGTGACTGTTTTTGGAATTGGCCATGAAGAAATGACTTCCACTTTGCTTGGATCAACTTTAATTCCTTCACCTGAAACAATATAACCAAGGAAAACAGTATCCGTTAGCAAAAAATGGCACTTCTCCAACTTCCCATACAATTGTTGCTCTCTCAAGGTTTTGAAAATCTCTTCCCAGCGTTTCAAGTGCTCCTCCTCATTTTTACTATAGATGAGAATGTCATCTAAGTAAACAACTACAAACTTCCCCAAAAATGGCCTCAACATTTCATTCATAAGTCTCATAAAGGTGCTTGGAGCATTTGTTAATCCAAATGGCATAATAAGCCACTCATACAAACCATGCTTAGTTTTAAAGGCTGTTTTCCATTCATCACCTTCCCTCATTCTAATTTGGTGATATCCACTCCTCAAATCTATCTTGGAAAACACTTGAGCTCCACTCAACTCATCTAACATATCATCAAGTCTAGGAATAGGAAACCTATACTTAATGGTTATGTTATTCACCGCCCTACTATCAATACACATCCTCCATGTTCCATCCTTTTTTGGCACTAACAAAGCTGGAACGGCACAAGGACTCATGGATTCTCTCACGTAACCCATTTGCATCAACTCCTCAATTTGTCTTTGTAATTCCTTAGTTTCCATGGGATTGCATCTATAAGGGGGTTTATTCGGAAGGGGGGCTCCCGGAATCAAATCTATTTGATGTTCTATACCACGAATAGGAGGCACCCCTTGTGGTAATTCATTAGAAAAAACATCTTCATACTCCTTGATCAATGCGGCTAGCCTAGGGTTTTGTTGGACAAAACCTTCGTGTTCCTCTTTAGAAAACAATAAGAACACTTCATCTTCCTTCTCCAAAGAGTTTTCGAATTCCTTTAAGGAAAGCAACAAAATGTCCTTTCTTTTGGGCTCTTTTTGTGGTGGTGGGGATTGTGTTTGGGAAAGGCTTTTTTGTGGTGGTAAGGGGTGCAACACTTTCTTGCTGCCTTGGTGAGTAATGGTGTAGGTGTTTATTGTAACTAAACATGAAAGCTAAAACCTAGCCTAGAATCACGCCTATGCTAAGAAGATTTTCTTAACTGATTTTAGGCTTTAATCACCCTTAATTAACCTCTTAAAAACTGCTGAAAAAAGCTTAAAAACAGCCATAAAGAACTAGCAAAAAACGTGGAGTAACCTCCCCTTGATTCATGCCTTTCTTCATGCTAAATGTTTATGACTTGCAATGAAGTTTCTCCTTGCTTCAAGGACGCCTTTTCCTATGCCTAAGGCTGTTCAAAACGTGCCTAGGATGCCCATTAACATTCATAACCAGAATGTAAACAAGTAAACCCTTGGTTAGCAAGAAATGGTCCATGCGCACAAAAAGTATCTAACACTTGATCTTCAAATGACTTAGCAAGAATGATTTCTTTGTGAATTGGACTTGTAGGATGATCATGCTTGATTGGACTAATGGACTCTTCATGATTTGCATCAATAAAATGAAAGCCAAAACTCAAATAAAACTATTAGAATCAAATGAAAGTCAGACACATTCAAACAAAATAAAACTATTAGAATCAAATGAAAGTCAGACACATTCAAACAAACCTAATTGAATCAAATGAAAGTCAAACTCATTCAAACAGAGCTAATTGAATCAAATGAAAGTCAAACACATTCAAAAAGAGCTTTTTGAATCAAATGAAGGTCAAATGCATTCTACAAAGCTAATTGAATCAAATGAAAATCAAACACATTGAAACAAAGCTAATTGAATCAAAAGTAAGTCAAACACTTTCAAACATAGTTTTTTTAATCAAATGAAAGCCAAATGCATACAACAAAGCTAATTGAATCAAATGAAATTCAAAAACATCTAAAAAAATCTAATTAAATCAAATGAAAGTCAAACACATTCAAACAAAACTATTAGAATCAAATGAAAGTCAAACACATTCAAACAATCCTAATTGAATCAAATGAAAGTCAAACACATTCAAAAAGAGCTTTTTGAATCAAATGAAAGTCAAATGCATCCTGCAAAGCTAATTGAATTAAATGAAAGTCAAAGACATTCAAACAAAGCTAATTGAATCCAACGTAAGTCAAACACATTCAAACATAGCTTTTTGAATCAAATGAAAGTCAAATGCATTCAACAAAGCTAATTGAATCAAATGAAATTCAAAAAACATCTAAAAAAATCTAATTAGATCAAATGAAAGTCAAACACATTCAAACAAAACTATTTGAATCTAATGAAAGTCAAATGCATTCTACAAAGGTAATTGAATCAAATGAAAGTCAAACACATACAAACAAAGCTAATTAAATCAAATGAAAGTCAAACACATTCAAACAGAGCTAATTGAATCAAATGAAAGTTAAACACATTCAAAAACAGTTTTTTTAAATCATATGAAGGTGAAATGCATTCTACAAAGCTAATTAAATCAAATGAAAGTCAAACACATTCAAACAAAGCTAATTGAATCCTACGTAAGTCAAACACATTCAAACATAGCTTTTTGAATCAAATGAAAGTCAAATACATTCAACAAAGCTAATTGAATCAAATGAAATTCAAAAATATCTAAAAAAATCTTATTAAATCGAATGAAAGTCAATCACATTCAAACAAAACTATTTGAATCAAATGAAATTCAAATGCATTCTACAAAGCTAATTATATCAAATGAAAGTCAAACACATTCAAACAAAGATAATTGAATCAAATGAAAGTCAAACACATTCAAACAAAGCTTTTTGAATCAAATGAAAGTCAAATGCATTCTACAAACAAAGCTAATTGAATCCAACGTAAGTCAAACACATTCAAACATAGCTTTTTCAATGAAATGAAAGTCAAATGCATTCAACAAAGCTAATTGAATCAAATGAAATTCAAAAACATCTAAAAAAATCTAATTAGATCAAATGAAAATCAAACACATTCATAAAAAACTACTTGAATCAAATGAAAGTCAAATGCATTCTACAAAGCTAATCGAATCAAATGAAAGTCAAACACATTGAAACAAAGCTAATTGAATCAAACGTAAGTCAAACACATTCAAACATAGTTTTTTGAACCAAATGAAAGCCAAAAGCATTCAACAAAGATAATTGAATCGAATGAAATTCAAAAACATCTAAATAAATCAAATTAAATCGAATGAAAGTCAAACACATTCAAACAAAACTATTTGAATCAAATGAAAGTCAAATGTATTCCACAAAGCTAATTGAATCAAATGAAAGTCAAACACATTCAAACAAAGCTAATTGAATCAAGTGAAAGTCAAACACATTCTAACAAAGCTTTTTGAATCAAAAGTAAGTCAAATGCATTCAACAAAGCTAATTGAATAAAATGAAAGTCAAAAACATCTAAAAAAATCTAATTAAATCAAATAAAAGTGAAACTCATTCAAACAAAACTATTAGAATCAAATGAAAGTCAAACACATACAAACAAACCTGATTGAATCAAACGAAAGTCAAACTCAATCAAACAGAGCTAATTGAATCAAATGAAAGTCAAACAAATTCAAAAAGAGCTTTTTGAATCAAATGATGGTCAAATGCATTCTACAAAGCTAATTGAATCAAATGAAAGTCAAACACATTCAAACAAAGCTAATTGAATCGAACGTAAGTCAAACACATTCAAATATAGTTTTTTGAATCAAATGAAAGCCAAATGCATATAACAAAGCTAATTGAATCAAATGAAAGTCAAATACATTCAAACAAAAGCTATTTGAATCAAATGAAAGTCAAAATCATTCGATAAAGCTAATTAAATCAAATGAATGTCAAACACATTCAAACTAACCTAATTGAATCAAATTAAAGTCGAATGCATTCTTCAAAGCTATCTAAATCAAATGAAAGTCAAACACATTCAAACAAAGTTAATTGAATCAAACGTAAGTCAAACACATTCAAACATAGTTTCTGGAATCAAATGAAAGCCAAATGCATTCAACAAAGGTAATTGAATCAAATGAAAGTCAAACACATTCAAAAAGAGCTTTTTGAATCAAATGAAGATCAAATGCATTCTACAAAGCTAATTGAATCAAATGAAAGTCAAACTCATTCAAACAAAGCTAATTGAATCGAACGTAAGTCAAACGCATTCAAACATAGTTATTTGAATCACATGAAAGCCAAATGCATACAACAAAGCTAATTGAATCAAATGAAATTCAAAAACATCCCAAAAAATCTAATTAAATCAAATGAAAGTCAAACACATTCAAACAAAAGCTATTTGAATCAAATGAAAGTCAAATGCGTTCTACAAAGCTAATTAACTCAAATGAAAGTCAAACACATTCAAACTAACCTAATTGAATCAAATGAAAGTCAAACAAATTCAACAGAGCTAATTGAATCAAATGAAATTCAAACATATTCAAAAAGAGCTTTTTGAATCATATGAAGGTCAAATGCATTCTAAAAAGCTAATTTAATCAATTAAATTCAAACACATTCAAACAAAACTATTTGAATCAAATGAAAGTCAAATGCATTTCACAAAGCTAATTGAAAAAAATAAAAGTCAAACACATTCAAACAAAGCTAATTGAATCAAATGAAAGTCAAACACATTCAAACAAAGCTTTTTGAATCAAAAGAAAGTCAAATGCATTCAACAAAGCTAATTGAATAAAATGAAAGTCAAAAACATCTAAAATAATCTAATTAAATCAAATAAAAGTCAAACACATTCAAACAAAACTATTAGAATCAAATGAAAGTCAAACACATACAAACAAACCTAATTGAATCAAACGAAAGTCAAACTCAATCAAACAGAGCTAATTGAATCAAATGAAAGTCAAACACATTCAAAAAGAGCTTTTTAAATCAAATGAAGGTTAAATTCATTCTACAAAGCTAATTGAATCAAATAAAAGTCAAACACATTCAAACAAAGCTAATTGAATCGAACATAAGTCAAACACATTCAAATATAGTTTTTTGAATCAAATGAAAGCCAAATGCATACAAAAAAGCTAATTGAATCAAATGAAATTCAAAAACATCTAAAAAAATCTAATTAAATCAAATGAAAGTCGAACACATTCAAACAAAAGCTATTTGAATCAAATGAGGGTCAAAAGCATTCGATAAAGCTAATTGAATCAAATGAAAGTCAAAAACATTCAAACAAAGCTTTTTGAATCAAAAGAAAGTCAAATGCAATCAACAAAGCTAATTGAATAAAATGAAAGTCAAAAACATCTAAAAAATCTAATTAAATCAAATAAAAGTCAAACACATTCAAACAAAACTATTAGAATCAAATGAAAGTCAAACACATACAAACAAACCTAATTGAATCAAACGAAAGTCAAACTCAATCAAACAGAGCTAATTGAATCAAAAGAAAGTCAAACACATTCAAAAAGAGCTTTTTGAATCAAATGAAGGTCAAATGCATTCTACAAAGCTAATTGAATCAAATGAAAGTCAAACATATTCAAACAAAGCTAATTGAATCGAACGTAAGTCAAACACATTCAAATATAGTTTTTTGAATCAAATAAAGGCCAAATGCATACAACAAAGCTAATTCAATCAAATGAAATTCAAAAACTTCTAAAAAAACCTAATTAAATCAAATAAAAGTCAAACACATTCAAACAAAAGCTATTTGAATCAAATGAAAGTCAAATGCATTCTTCAAAGCTATCTAAATCAAATGAAAGTCAAACACATTCAAACAAAGCTAATTGAATCAAACGTAAGTCAAACACATTCAAACATAGTTTTTGGAATCAAATGAAAGCCAAATGCATTCAACAAAGGTAATTAAATCAAATGAAAGTCAAACACATTCAAAAATAGCTTTTTGAATCAAATGAAGATCAAAT